TACCTAAGCCTAATGCAAAGACTCACAGAATCATTGAAAATTTGTGTTGGAAGGGACCTCAGGAGGTTATCTCATCCAACCCCCTGCTCAAAGCAGGACCAGTCCCAAGTAGATCATCCCAGCTAAGGCTTTGTCTACTCAGATCTTAAAACCCTCCAACGATGGAGATTTGCACAATTTCTCTGGGTAATCGGTTCCAGTGCTTTACTACCCTCCTTGTGAGAGAATTCTTTTTAATATCTAATGTAAACCTCCCATGATGGAACTCGAGACCATTGCTCCTTGTTCTGTCATCTGCCACCACAGACAACAGTTAAGCTCCATCCTCTTTGGAACCACCCTTCAGCTAGCTGAAAGCTACTTTTACATCCACCCTCAGTCTCCTCTTCTCCAGATTAAATAAGCCCAGTTTCCTCAGCTTCTCAGAAGTCATATGCCCCAGCCCCCTAACTATTTTTATTGCTCTCCACTGGACTGTCCTCAATTTGCCCACATCCTTTCTGTGGTAGGGGGCCAAAAAGTGGACAAAGGATTCCAGATGTGGCCTCGCTGGTGCTGAATAGAGGGGAAGAATTACTTCCCCTTATCTGCTGGCAGCACTCCTACTAATGCAGCCCAGTATCCTGTTAGGTTTCTTTGCAACAGGGGCACGCTGTTGGTTCATATTCAGCTTACTGTCCCTGTAACCGTCCAGTTCTTTTCTGCAGAGCTGCTGCTTAGCCAGTTGATCCCAGCTTGTAGCAGTGCGAGGGATTGTTCTGTCCTGAGTGCAGGACTTTGCACTTGTTTTGGTTGAGCCTCATGAGAGTTCTTTTGGTCCAATCCCCCAATTTACCTAGGTCGCTCTGAATCCTAGCTGTATGCTCCAGCCTATATACTACTCCCCCCAGCTTGGTGTCATCTGCAAACTTGCTGAGGGTGCACTCCATTCCATCTTCCAGATGACTGATGAAGATATTGAACAAAACTGGCCCTAGGACCTATCCCTGTGGCACTCCACTTGGTACTGGCTGCCAACTAGACATCAAGCCATTGACTAGTACCCTCTGAGCCTGATGATCCAGACAGTTTTCTGTCTACTTTCCAGACCATTCATCCAACCTCTACTTCCTTAGCTTGCTTGTGAGAATGTTATAGAAGACCATATAAAAAGCCTTGCTAATTTCAAGGTATATCACATCCACTGCTCTTTCCACATCCGTAGAACCAGTCATCTCATCATAGAATGCAGTCAGGTTGGTCAGGCTGGATTTGCCACTGGTGAATCCATGCTGACTGCTCCTAATCATCTTTTTCTCACCCAAGTGCCTAGAAATGGATTCCCTGAGGATCTGCTCCATGATTTTTCTGGGGACTGAGGTGAGGCAGATTTAGTTTGTAGTTCCCTGGATCTTCCTCCTTCCCTTTCTCAAAGATGGGCACTATATTTGCCCCTTTCCAGTTATCTTGGACCTCTCCCAATTGCCATATGTTTTCAAAGACAATTGCCAGCACCTTTGCAATCACATCGCCCATAGCACCATTGGGTGCATCGTGTCCAGCCCTATGGACTTGTACATGTTCAGCTTTTCTAAATAGTCACTAACCTGTTCTTTCACCACTGTTGGTTGCTCACCTTCTCCCCAAACTATGCTGCCCAGTGTAGTAGACTGGGAGCTGACCTGGCCTGTGAAGACTGAGGTGAAAAAGGCATTGAGTACTTCAGCCTTCTCTGCATCCTCTGAAACTAGATTTCCTCCCCCATTCAGTAAGGGACCCACACTGTCCCTGATCTTCCTCTTGTTACTGACATACTTGTAGAAACTCTTCTTGTTACCCTTCACGTCTCTTGCTAGTTGCAACTCCAACTGTAAACAACTATTCATTTCACTGAGTCGGGATGTATTTATCTTGGGATCAGGCTATTAGTCCTTTTTCTGTTGAAGCTTGGTGGCCATCTTAAAGTAGATATGGTTCATGTTATAGGGATCTGGAAAACTTAAGTTTCTTTTTTTGGATTTTTGTGTCAGTATTATTATTGTGAGCTATGAATGGTAAAATGTCAATAAGTTTTGCAGTTCTTGGCAACTACAGCATTAGCAATTGTGGGGTTATAGGCCAATAAATAAGCGAACATTGTTCACCACATGTAAAGCCCTATTTACATAGATTTATTAGACAATATTAATGTTTTTGATCCAAATGGATTCTGTTTCCTATAATTTATTACTGCTCAGAGAATTCATTGTTGAAGAGACCCACTAGACTTTATCTACAGGTGAGTATTATTTGAAATGTTTTTGAAAGATGATAATTGCACTTTTATAGTACTGTTCAGCCCAAATGATTTTGTATTTCATATGGAAGTGAACTACAGGCAGTTTCAATGCAAAGGTCAATAGCTGTTTTTAAAAGTACATAGAAACATTACATACATGGGTTGAGGACAAATGGAGAATGACTTGGCTAGCTGAAATGGCAAGATAATTTAGTGAGGTTAGGAAAATGAAAAACTTTACTGAAGTGTTTTGCTCTTACTTTTCACAAGTGACATTGTCTGAAACTAATGTCTCAATAATGTTGTCTGTGACAAAATACTTTCTAAGGATATAGTGTTGTTTTTCTCATCATGTTAGAAAAGTGACTAGTACAACAACTTGCAATTTTTTTGAAAGTGTATGAATAATGTTTTTAGGGATGCCTCACATTATAATACTCTTGTGTTGACTTTATATGCAGTCTGATCAGAATAATGATTTAATTAAAAAAGAAAAAAAGTAAAGAATTAATGAATAATGTGATACTCTTTCTAGTTATGTCAATTAATGCTAACAGATAATTCTCATGAATATTCAATCACTGGCAGACTGTAAGAGGATATGAATGGTTTAAGCAACATGTGCTACTGCAAGGAATATTACTGAAATGAAAGAGACATGACAGATTAGAAAAGAAAAGGTGCTCTTCATTTCAGGTTATAATGTTTTACTTTATAAAATGGGGAAAAAAGAAAGGTATAAGTAACATAGCAGCATTTTACTATATCTCTCTGGTTTAATATTAACAACTACACTTTTTTTCAAATGATTATCTATTATTTCTTCAAATTTCTTTTGAACATTAGGATGCCCAGCATTGAAAAGCCACAAGTCTATTGATCTGCTGATAATCAAAACAAAGCTTTGAAATTAAAGTGGTTGCTAATGTTTTTGCCCTCTTAATAGGTCTGGATTTGTGTTATAATTATGATGAAAGTTGCAGATTCTGCTATTTTTGGGTTTCAAGTAGTACAGCCAAGGCTTTGACATCTTTATTTTCACGTGTGGGTGTCAGGCAATAGCTTGCTCTTCGTATGTTCAAAGCCTTGTATAAACACTTGAATAAACTTCCTTGTGAATTAAAAGATAGACTTTAAGCAGTATGTTGGGATAATAAAGGAAGCAGTATAGTGACAACTGAGTAAGCTTTGCAGAGTATTTTAGATTTTCTTTTGAAGCTAGTTTTCATAATGTGTTTGTATTGTAACCTGACCTTGGGGAAAAGCTACTTGTTTGTAATAAATGAAGTTGATATGAACTACCTATAATGCAGCTTCATTCAAAGTAGTAATTTTTTAGATTAACTCTATTTCAAAACTAACAATAAAATAACAGCAGTCTGAAAAAAAACATCCAGGTCCTGGTTTCAATCTTTGTTTCCACAAGGCAAGAAAAGACAGTGCTTCTGCATAGCAAATGAACCAGTGAAGAGTTTATCATTGCATATAGTGTTTTGTGCTGGCATTTTTCCCCCTTACAAAGTAGCAGGCAGAATTTCAGGCTATGTCTACAGTTGGTTTCTTGCTGGGTAATGTCATCTGAAAAAGAGGGGTTTTATAATTGAATTTTTAGGATCTTTTTTGTGAGGTAGTTTCTTCACATCTTACCCAATGAATGTTAGTCTTTAGAAGCCAACATATTTACTTCTTAAATTATGATGTTTATACAGTATCTAGTGTAACCATGCACCAACCAGCTTGGCTAGAAATAATTGATTTATAGCTGTTCCTATAGATTACAACTGAGAGAGCCGCTGTGCTGAGTCTGTCTTGAGGGGCTTACACTCTAAGGAAGCGAGACAGACAAACTGTGAGGGAGGTAATATGCAGAGAGACTTGAAATGATTGCTGGGTCACCCTAGTAAACCAGAGTGATCTCAGCACCACAAATAACATCTGGGTCTTCTTGCAATGGCTGTCGTGAACCTGGCACAACAGACTATGCTGCCTCTACCTTCTCTGGTTTTCCATAAATACATACAAAATGAATTGTTGGCCATAGTCCAGTTTTGGAAAATCAATATTCCATATAGCAAAACCATCATCTCAGCTAGTCTACACAATGCTTGGGACAGCAGCAGTTTGAGCCGAAGCAGAGCAGCCCTGGGATGGCAGCAGGCTTGAGGGATCAGTCCCAGGCTCTGGGTCATGGGGTGGGTGATGGACAGGCTGGCTGGGGCATGAGGGTGCAGAATCTGCAGAGCTATGTGGCTAGGCAGCCCTTGCCCTTTAGCACATTCATGTCTCACCCAGCCCCTGTCACTATCTACACATGCATTTCATCACACTTAATTACTTTGCTGTAAGATGGTACTGGGACAGTACTATCTTATGGCACAGTTAATTAATTTACTGTACATGTGTAGACTGTGACACTTTACTGCGAAGCTAATAATTGGTCACCTGACAAGTAAAGTGCATGTGTAGTCTCAGTATAGATGAAAGGACTGGATGGGCTCCACAGGTAGATGCATGTCACTCCAAACGGGTTAACTGGGTGCATTTTAATAGTCAGCTGAGCAAATACAGTATGATCAGCACCAAAGTGAAATGTGCTGTAAATCTCATGTGGTTTTCAAAGTTAAAACTCAAACATGAGTCACCTCAATCACTAGAGTGGCAGAGTAGCTACTTATTTTGCCTGCGCAGGACATTGAGCAGAACTGCTGGTGTTCTCATGAGACTAATCTTTTATTTTCTTTAGCATATTACATCTGACAGCTACATTCCATGTCTTGCTGATCTCTGCAAAGCACTTTGGGAAGTCATGCTTAGCTATTATCGAACCATGCAATGGCATGAGACACATGATCGAGATGGGGGAGCTGCTTTATCTTCAGGTAAGATTTTACTTTTGAATTAAAATTTCTTGTTGCTTTTTTTATAATCTGAAAATAAGATTTAAATGCCCAAGTTATTAGTTTGTCTCCTGATGCATGTTACATTTAAGGTGCTATTAATGTGAAAATCACACCATACATAGTAACAGTGCTATACATGCAGTTGACTTATGGTGCCATAAAGTCCTAAACCAGCCACAAAGATTTTTCACAGTATATGGAATTGGGATGGGGTTGGCATCAGTCCCAATGCTAAAAGTGGGCTGCCAAGCAAGTGGATTGCATGGTTGCAGGGGGGAAGCTGATGGCCTCTGCCACCAGGCACTTAATAACCCCTGCTCCTAGCAGTCATTTCAGTCTTGTCCTGCCCAGCTACACACAGTTTCTAAAGGCTCCAATGCACTAGGGCCCCAGGATTGAGAAGTTCCCTAATCTCAGGGTCCCTGCACACAAAGAGCTTTAAAAACTGAGTGTGCATCTCAGGGTTCAGTGGGTTTGCAGGGGCCAGGCGGGAGCAGTGGATCAACTTGTCCTGTCCAGCACTTGTCAACCTGTGTCCTGGGCTCCCTGATGGCGGTGGTGTGATTGGGATCCAATTCCTGATCTCACCAATTGCACAGGTGGTGTGGCAGGTGGTACAATGGTTAGGATCAAGGATTAGATCCCATTGTGGTAGTAAGTGAGTATCTGCTTATCCCCCTCTTTCGAGTTTCTTTTGTGGTTCTGATCACCAGAATACTATAAGCATGCCATTTGGTTTTTTTCTCAGTGTAAATACATTGTCACATTGTTTAAATGTGTGGTAATGATTAATGTGCACACACTAAATGTTGAATTAGACTGTAAATATTCAGAAGCTTTACTAAATTAATCTTTAATTTATCCTGTATTTAACCTGCATAGGCTTTTCCTTTAACCGTGTCCAAGTTTGGACTTGGATTCATATTTCATCTATATTGTCCTGTGCCTGGTCTAGGAAAAAAGATCTTGCCAATATCTGGGTGTCTTAAGTTATTTCAAAAAAATCTTATTTTTATTGTTATAAAATTATACAAAGGTTGAATAAAGGAGTAGAACTGAAAATGTAGATTGCAGCAACTGCCCCATAGTTAAGTAAGAGTGACTTACTCAATAGTATGTTAGGATATCATAGCCTTTGTCTTTAGAAATGTGTTAAGTCTCTTGTGGGAGATTTTAGATTTAATATATAGGGGTACTAGAATACATTTGAAGAAGTTGCCCTAAAACTTAGTAATGTAATTAGTTATGTTAAGGTATATTCTCCTTAATGCTGCTTTTTCATTGCTCAGAACTTCTGCGGGCCACTGTCTAATGTATGCACAGCTCCCTCAGTCTCCTAGAAAAATCTAAACCTCTGTCTCATACCAGGGATCCTCATTTTTCTCTGTTTTAAAAACACAAAAATCTCTAATTAAAAACCTCTTTCTATATATATCGAGAGAGAGAGTGGTATTTCATTTTAATTGTGGAAAAACATGGATTTTGGGTTTTTTAATTAGATAATTTTGTACTTTTTTAAACAGAGAAAACCAGGATCCCTGGTGGGTGGGTGGGGGTGTGTGTGTGTGTGTGTGTGTGTTTACTATTTTAAAGCAATTTGGCAGGCTACCAAATATCAATATCTCTATATAGATATCGATATCTGCTGCCGCAGCACCCAAGCTCAGGCAGTGCTGGTTGGCTGCAGCTGGCACCCACAGATCAGGAAGCAGGCAGGATGCAGCTTCTGGATCCTGTAGTCCTGGCAGCTGGGGGACCCCAGATATATACTGGCATTTAATTTTGGTTTTTTATCATGGAAAATCAGAGCTCCCCCTTCCTCTTCACTCACCAGGATGCAGGGTTCCACACCTTCCACTCCCCACTTCTTTCTGGTGTTGAGTAGCCCTGATATGCCTGTACCCTGCCCTTGCTGGTGCCCCTCACTCCCAACCCACTGCCACCCACCCCTTTACTGGTGCCCCTCACTCCTGATCCTGCAGCCCACCATCCCTGCCAGGGACCCTCACTCCTGATCTGCAGTCCCCTGCCCCCACTAGCCAGAGGGGTCCCCCAGCTGCCAGGACTACAGGATCTGGAGGCTGTATCCTGCCTGCTTCCTGATCCATGGGTGCCAGCTGCAGCCAACCAATAGTGCCTGAGCCTGGGTGCTGTGGCAGCAGAGCCCAGCTTCCCTCTGCCCTTGCTACCCTGAGGGTGACATGGCTGAGAAGAACCCAGTAGACCCCTAGGGGGGCAGGGCTGAGGGAGGATGTGGGCTGCCCACCGCAGGACTTGCGGCTCCCACCCTTGCTGCCTTCCCCCTGAGGACCTCTGTGGGCCAGCAGGTGGGATCCAGCATGGGAAGGCAAATTTGGGTGGGGAGACTTGGTGTTGCCCTGTGCCAGCCACACTGCCATAGTGAGGTGCCCCCTGCCTGCTCGGTAGCAGCAGGGATGGCAGTGGTGGCACGGAGTTGTGCCCCTTTGCTGCTGCCAGGTGGGCAGGGGGCACCTCACCTTGACAGCAGGCTGGTGTGGGGGTCCCAGTGGTGGTGGCGGTGGCAGCAGCACTGAGTCTCCCTGCCCTGCTCAGTCCTCCCATGCCAGATCCCGCCTGCTGGCCAGCAGAGGAAGCCCAGCTGCAGCCTTTTGTCCCACTGTAGGTGAACAAATCTGGAGAGGTATGTGCCCCTCTTCCCCCCCGCTCCTCCCGTTGCATTGTCTCTGGCTCTCAACCCTGTCCCAAGGGTGTGCACAGCGATGGGGAGCCAGCCCCCCCCGCCAGCTCTCCAGACGAGCTTGCCCACGTCTCTGTTCTGTCCCACAACCAGGCCTCGCAACTGTGTATTTCTGCCCAGTGTGGTGCCACCAACTTTGCGCCACCCCCTCGCTCACTATGGCCTCTGCCAACTCAATCAGCCTGCCTCGTTTATACCCTCCACCACACATTGCCCTATGCATCCCTCCCCCATAGACTTATCTGTAGGCAGCTAAGGGAGCTGCTGTCCACTACTGCCTGGATGTATTTTTGGCCACATGCATGTGTGTGCATGCACATGTGCTTGTGGCATCTTCTGTGCCCCACTCCCTCCAGCCCCAAAGCAGCACCTTGCAGATGGAACTGTCTCAGCCTGCAACTGGAAATCTATGGTTTTTTGCTTGTTTCTCCTTTAAAGGAGAAAATCTGAATTTTTCCATAGCAAACAGAAAACCCAGATCCCTGCTCAAAACTCGTGTTCCATGATAGATTGTTTGTTTAGTCTTATGTGGTTCTATTTTTGTACTTTTCTAATTCCTGCCTTATGGGTTCAGTGCCTGGAATTTTGTTTGTCTGGCTCTTTCCTTTTATACACAGCATGCTGTGCATAATTTAAATTAATTAGTGCGACTAAAGACAGAACCTGGTATCCAAAATGCTTGGAATTAATAATAGGCATACAGTGAAATCCTAACCTCAGCAACATTACCTGGAGTCCTGATAGCATGCTGGAGAAACAGGGGCACAACTCGGGTAGCATGAAGGCCTGACCAGCAGCCAGAGTTTTGATTTGGAGAGGCAGGCTTCCATTTGTGCTGGCGTGCAATTTTTTGGCGTGCTTCATGCTGTTTTTTTTCTCTGGCATTTTTTTTTGGAAATCCCAGTAGTAGATTTTGCCACTGAGCTACAAATTTGCAGCATGGTGTGTTTTTTAACATTCACTGTGTGCAGTTTCTGGTGCCACACAAAGGTTTGTGGTGCCACAAACTGCACACTCCTGCTCTTTTGGACAGGGCCTTAGTCTCTACTTCCTTAGAACAGTAGAAATGAGTTTCTTTCATGGGTAGTAGAATTCTGACCAGGCTTGTGCAATTATTTTTTCTTGTCTGATAAAAGCATGTTTGTGTAAAACATGCAGAAATATATTTATCTTTCAGCCTAAATTGTGAGGAAAGAATAACAATGGGAAGGAGGATCTGGAAAAAAATACCACTCTGTACTTAAAATATATATTTGAAATTCACCACTACTTCTAAAGTCAGACTTAAAAATGTTAAGTATTGGAATAAATATCATTTCAATTACTGAGATTTTTTTTTAGGTGTACACACTTTACACAAAGGGCCCTCTGACAAAATTAAATATTTGTACTTCAACTTCAGTTTTAGGTAGGAAGACAATTACTTTAGGCTTAAGGCTAATTCTATTAAAAGTATTTCAAATAAAGTCATCTTAATATTAATATGTTAAAATTCAGGTCTATCTCTTATGTGGGAAGACTATTTATTAATCTACTTTTGTGTTCCTTAATGGATGTCTTGAATGAAAGGATACATTCTAAAGCTAAAGACTGCAGAATGGGAGGACACAGCAGGGGGAGTTGCAGGATAGTTTAGAAACCTTTGCTAAAATGTTTTCCACTAAACAGTTAATGAAACCCAAAACTGCAAAGAATTTGAATAAGGCTTCCCACTACTTCATGCATATTTGGCTCTTTTTCTTTTTCTTATTTTTTTTTTTTAACATATAAAGCTATTCTTAGGTTCTTCCCTGGTTCTGCCTGGTACTCGATGCTTAGGCATTACTTCAGATATGTCAAGTGCTTCTTCATCGTTGTATCAAAATCCAAAAATAAGAATGACAATTTGTGGAACCAGTAGACTTAGAAGACATTTAATTACATTAATAAAAAAAAAACCAACATGAACTATGCACTCACTAGTGTAGTGTCTCTAAAAGAGCTCTTACCTATGCTTTGTCATAATTAAGTATTGTACTTCATCATAATTAAGAGTCTGCCCAACTTGCAGATGGACAGCTGATTTTGCAGGCAGATCACAGGATTGGTTGCCATTTTTGAGGGCTTATTGTGGTGAGAAGTGCACTGATACATTGGTCTGATATCGGGTTGACACTGATATAAAGAATATTGAGTGTATCGGAAATCGGCCTGATGTGACCAACAATGTCATAAATGGCCCTTGCATGTGTGCAGCTACAGCGCAGCACGTAGACAGTGA